TTGACTTGATGACAAGACTATTCAGACTCGACTCTCAGAGGTCTGATGTTGAAGCTAGTTCATCTGGTAGATTAGTAAGAAACTTTGAAGAAATTGTTATCGCCAATATTGAAAAAGATTTAAACAATTAGAATATCCCTAAGGTCTCTACTTCTGAAATATATAGTAAAGAGACTTTTGAATTCAGAAGTGATTATGCTATCAAAACTGAAGAAGAAACCAAATCTGTCTTAAATTCTGAAACTACCATAAATTTGTTAAACAAGGATCGTATTGAAGAATTTAGAAGAAAAAAATATATAATTATCTTCATATTGGTCTTGTTCAACTTGGTATTAGACCTTTAACTGGGGCTGGGCTTCAAAATGCTATCCTCTTGTGCTTAAGAGATAGTAGGCATAGACAATTTATGGACTCTTTATTAGGAGCTGTTGAATCTAATCTCTGCGAGGGACCAGTTTATTTTAATTGCTTCATGTGTTTCTCTGTTTCTTTGACTGACCTTCATATTTTGAAAGTCCTTACTCTTAACCTTTTAACTAACGGTTTTGACATGGATGTTGGGTCACAAAATATTGCTGTTACCTATAGGGTCCGCTATAAAGCCATGACCACTAGCTGTCCTAATATTAGGAGAATTGACTTTAAGGGCCAGACTACTCTTTTCCAAACTAATGTTGAAAAGTCTAATTTGATTATCCATAGAACAATTTCATGGGACCAGGTGAATTTACCTGAAAAATGGACCTTACCTTGTGCTCTGTCCCACCTAAGCCTGTACAAAATCAGGAAATCGGCCAAGTAACTCAGTATGCTGAAGGAAAGATAGAGATTCAATTCTCTCATCTCCTTAGAAATTTTCTTAATCAAAATAGGATCCTTAATCAGCCTCCAAGAATGTCCTTTAGTTCTGAATCATCTAGGATGGTTGAACCTCCTAGAATTTCTTTCTCTTCTGTACCACAAACATAAACTGAAAAAGAAAAAAATAATAGTGAGGATGTGGTCATAGAAAGGTTTGATCAGCTTAAGAATCAACAAATTGTTCAGCCTACCTATAAGGTAGAAAACCCTTCAACACAAAATAATAAAGATTCTGATGGCTCTTAAAAACCATTTTTTTTTTGATATGAAGTACAGTTATTAAATATAATATATAATATTAAAATAATATAATATACAACAATATAATATAATATAATATATAATTAAATATTATTATAATAATTTTGTATATTATATTATATATATTAAATATTATTTAATCATAAATGATCAGGTACGCACCATCGCGTACAAGGGAGTGAGAAAAGGAACGGTGAGACTGCTTCTCTCTTTCTCTCCCTACATTCCTTCCCCTCTCTCACCCATCCATCAATCTCTCTCTAGATTAGCGCGTCACTTTCTCCACATTTTTTTTTATGAATAATCTCTTATTTCATTCCTTCTTCGATTCTTTAAACTCCATAAAAATCGAAGCTTTCTAAAATCAAATATATTGATTTGCAAGTCGAGATGGCTTGATCAAAGATATGGAAACTATGCAGGTGGGGCGTGCCATAGTTAGAAATTCGGTTCACCATCAAATCGGAAACTAATTATTTTTATTTTAAAAAGTCGGTAAAAAAATTGGGTAAAAATATGGGTAA